TATGACAAATTTCGTGCAAATCGAAAGTTATATAGGGACTTTGAGGCACCATTTACATGAAATCGTACGAAACTATATGTGGGAGCTATATCTAAATCTGGGCCGATTTTCTCGAAACTTGGTAGACATCATTCTAGGCTCAATTCAGTGCGTTATGCCAAATTTCGTGCAAATCGAAAGTTATATAGGGACTTTGAGGCACCATTTACATGAAATCGGACGAAACTATATATGGGAGCTATATCTAAATCTGGACCGATTTTCTCCAAACTTGGCAGACATCACTCTAGGCTTAATTCAGTACGTTATGCCAAATTTCGTGCAAATCAAAATATATATAGGGACTTTGGGGCACCATTTACATGAAATCGTACGAAACTATATATGGGAGCTATATCTAAATCTGGACCGATTTTCTCGAAACTTGGTAGACATCATTCCAGGCTCAATTCAGTACGTTATGCCAAATTTCGTGCAAATCGAAAGTTATATAGGGAATTTGAGGCACCATTTACATGAAATCGGACGAAACTATATATGGGAGCTATATCTAAATTTGGACCGATTTTCTCCAAACTTGGCAGACATCACTCTAGGCTTAATTCAGTACGTTATGCCAAATTTCGTGCAAATCGAAAGTTATATAGGGACTTTGAGGCACCATTTACATGAAATCGGACGAAACTATATATGGGAGCTATATCTAAATCTGGACCGATTTTCTCCAAACTTGGCAGACATCACTCTAGGCTTGATTCAGTACGTTATGCCAAATTTCGTGCAAATCAAAAGATATATACGGACTTTGGAGCACCATTTACATGAAATCGTACGAAACTATATATGGGAGCTAAATCTAAATCTGGACCGATTTTCTCCAAACTTGTTAGACATCATTCTAAGCTCAATTCAGTACGTTATGCCAAATTTCGCGCAAATCGAAAGGTATATAGGGATTTTGGGGCACCTTTTACATGAAATCGGACGAAACTATATATGGGAGCTATATCTAAATCTGGACCGATTTTCTCCAAACTTGGCAGACATCACTCTAGGCTTAATTCAGTACGTTATACCAAATTTCGTGCAAATCAAAAGATATATAGGAACTTTGGGGCACCATATACATGAAATCGGACGAAACTATATATGGGAGCTATATCTAAATCTGGACCGATTTTCACGAAACTTGGCAGACATCATTCTAGACCTAAATGATTAAGCTGTACCAAATTTCGTGCAAATCGAAAGATATATAGGGGCCGTGTACATTAAATCGGTTAAATATATATATGGGAGCTATATCTAAATCTGAACCGATTTTTCCCAATTTCAATAGGGTTCGTCCTTGGGCCGAATAAGTGACCTATACCAAATTTCATTCAATTCGGATCATAAATGCGACCTGTACTTTGTTTACAATTTAACATGGACAGACAGACAGACAGACGGACAGACGGACGGACGGACGGACATGCATAAATCGACTTAGAAAGTGATTCTATGCATATTCTCAAAAGGAACCATGTGTCTATCTCGTTTCCTTTTGCCTGTTACAAACATATGCACAAAGACATAATACCCTGTACCACAGTGTGGTGAAGGGTATAAAAACAGGGTGTAACTATAATAAAAACGGAGTGTATGAAGCCCTTATGAAGAACGGGGAGTTCTTATCGACAAGTTAAAAACTTTAGAGACATTGTTCGAGTCCTTACGAACAAACGTATAGACGAGCTGAAGGACACCGAGTACGTACAGCTGTATATCCGCGAGTCCCTATAGACGAACTGGAAACCAGGATTATTTATGGGGATGTCCATATCGACGAGCTGATGGTCCGGGAGGTCTTATAGACGGACAGGAAACAATGGGGCCAGAAAGTCTTCATAGCTGAAGAGAAAGAGAATCTTTATAAACAAAACTCAAGAAGGGAGCTGAAGGTCGAGACATCTTCATGTACAAGTTGAAGATTCCTCTAGACGAACTGAACATAGATGAACTGAAGTTTGGGCAGCCATTATAGACCAGCTAAAGGTTGTGCAGTATTTATAGGGAGTCTTTAATGAGGAGCTAAAATTCGGGGAGTCTTTACTTTTGAACTTAAGGCCAGTATTTATGGAGTTTTTATCGACGAACTGATAGTCCGGAGCCCGTATACACAATCTCTATTCCAGAGAGTCTGTATTGGCGACGTTAAGACCAGACAGTCTTTACAGGCGAAAAGAATCCCAACAGACATTTATAGATGACCTAATGGCAAGGGAAAGCTAAAAGGCAACTGAAGGGTGAAGGGAGTTCCTGAAGTCCTAATAGACGAGCTAAAGGACACGGACTCCGTATAGACAAGCTAGAAAAAAGGGAGTATTTATGAACTCCTTATCTACGAGCTGATGGTCCGGGATCCCTTATAGACGAAGTAAATGTCATAAGCTGAATGTCAGTGAGTTCCTGAAGTCCTAATAGACGAGCTAAAGGACACGGACTCCGTATAGACGAGCTTGAAACAAGAGAGAATTTATGAAGTCCTTATCCACGAGCTGATGGTCCGGGATCCCTTATAGACGAAGTAAATGTCATTAGCTGAATGTCAGTGAATCTCTATAGACGTAGTGAAAAGAAGATATCCTCTATAGACTATATGGAGGTCAGAGAGTTCTTATCGACAAGTTGAAAGCTTTAGATTAATTATAAACGGATTGATAGCCAGGGAGTCCTCTCGGACAAGCTAAGACCAGAAATTGCTGATAGATGAGCTAGAAACAAGGCAGTATTTATAAAGTCCTTATTGATTTCTTATACGCTCTCCGGGGTTTCTTATACACTGTCTGTGGATCTTCATAGACATACGGAAGGTCAGAGAGCCTCTATAAACCATAGCAAGATGAGGAACTTTTTATAGATAAAGTCTCATCTCTGGATGAAGGTAGACGAGCTGAGTGTCGGAGAATCTTCATATATGTGTTGAATACTCCTCTAGGCTAGTTGAGGATTAGAAAGTCTTTATGAACGAACTGAAGGTTGGACAGTCATTATAGACCAACTGAAGGTTAGGCAATATTAATAGAACAGCAACCTTTAGAGAAGTGCTCAAGGTCGGGAATCCTTAAAAGACGAGCTAAATTTCGGGGAGTCTTTATATACGAACTTAAGGCCCGTGAGTATTTATGGAGTCCTTATTGACGAACTTATGGTCCGAAGTCCCTAAACACAAACTCGATTCTGTATTGGCAACGTGAAGTCAAGGGAGGGAAGTTGGGCTTTAGACAAACTGAAGCCCATCGGCCCTTTATGGATCCGACGGCAAGATCAGGCTGTCTTTGTAGATAATCTGAAGATCAGAGAGCATTTATAGATGAGGTGGATGTTAGTGAGTATTTATAAACCACCTGAAGGACAGGATACATTCATAGACCAAGCGGAGGTCTGGGAGTTTTGTTTGACAGTGTTTTTAGATGTTCAGGTTTTCGGGGATTCTTTGTATACGGGTTAAAGTTCTGGGGCCTCTATAGACGAGCCGGAACTCGGGATTTTTTTTTTTAAACCAGATAAAAGCCAGGCGATCTAAATAGTGAGGAGTCTCAAGAGACAACCCGAAGCTCTGGAAATTATTTTAAATCAGCTAAAAGTCTGGTCGGGTAGTCTTAATAGATGAGCTGAAGGTCGGAAAGTTTTTACAGACGAGGTGGAACTGCAGAAACAATATTAAGTGAGCTAAAGGTCAGGGAGCTTTTATAGGCGAGCTGAAAGGCATGGAGTCCCCAGCCGAAGATTGCAAAATTATTTTAAGTCAACTGAAGGTCAGGTCTTTGGGCTGTCGTGATAAACCAGTTGAAGTTTGTGTAGTCTTAACAGAGTTAAAGAAGTCTTTATAGATGAGCTGAAGGTAAAAGAGTCTATATAGCAGAGCTTGAGCTCGAAAATGTGTTTGAGCAAACTAAAGGTCAGGCAGTCTTTTTATGTGAGCTGGTAGTCAGGTAGTCTCTATAGATGAAGCTCAGAAAATTATTTTTATCCAGCTGAAGGTCTGGTCGGTATTTATAGTTGAGCTGAAGGTAGGGAAACCTCTATAAACGAGTTGAAGCTCGGGAAATGTTTTAAAGTCAACTAGAGGTCAGACAGTATTTATAGGCGAGCTAGTGGGCTGTGAGTTCTTATAGGCGAACTGTATAGCGAGGAATCTCTATAGACGAGCCAAAGCTCGCTAATTTATTTTAAAAAAGCTGAAGATCGGGTAAATGAGCTGACGATCGGATGGTCAATATACCAAGCTGGAGCTCGGGAAACAGTTTTAGCCAATGGGTAGGGAGTATTTATAGGCGAGTTGAATGGTGGGGAGCCTCTGTAGACAAGCCGAAGCTCGGGAATTTTTTTTTAAATCAGCTGAAGGTCAGGTCGGGTATATATGTACATAGATGAGCTGAATATCAAAAGGGTATTTATCGACTGATCTGAAGCTCAGAATAGGGTTTTTCCTATTCTTCCGATGTTCTTTATTTTGATGATTTCGAAAAAGGTTTTCGACCGAATCGATTATAGTTAATGAATTATATTTATCAATATAGGTTCATATTTATTTCTAGCCTCCTTATAAATATCGAAACACTCTGGTATTTTCGGTATTTTTGGGGTGATATTGGTAAAATATAATATTTGGAGTTCAAATCATTTTAGCAAAAATAATCAGTATTGTTCATGGACCCACTAGTGTGAACATTTGAAGATTTTAGACAAATTATCGGAATTGGTTCACTTCTGTGGTACATCACGGTTTTCATTATATCGAAAGTTTTAGTCAAATGTTCCAAAAAAATATCTTCTTATAAATGCCAGTATCCATATTTTGGAGGGTAAAAAACGTTCTGCCAGGTCGAATACAACTTTGTTACATGATTTTTTAAAAATTTTAAAAAAAAGTTTTTTTAATAAAAATTCTTAAAAATGGTCCTAAATTTGTTTTCTTTATAGAATTTGTGATATTATTTAAAAAATGGAATAAGTTATCTACTAACCTCAATTTATCGATTTCAGGATAACCAGCAATACCAAGAGGATAAACATAAAATCCGTGGCTACAATGAGGTGATTGAAAAGCCCCAGAAATATCAAAAGAACAACAATATCAACAATGGTAAGTTTGGCAAACATTTTCCCGACGCAACTCACTCCCAATCTCAACCTGCTCCTAACAAACCAACAACACCGTTTTAAGGATATTCCACTTCCTCCTCATCTCGTTCTGCAGGTTATCCCTCCAAATCACCCGAATGCAAACCTCAACAGCTGACCGCCATCGGTAATCGCCTACTCGATTGGTTCTCCGTGATTATGGCCGATAGCAAGAAACGTCGCCAACATAGTCAAAAATCTAAAGCTCATTTCCCACCCGCCTGCAAGACCGAAGCCAAATGGATGTTTGGACATTTGGATTTGAACAACGATGGCTATTTGTCGCTGCAGGAAATGTACGATCTGGAACATGATCAGAATGAACGATGCATTAAACCGTTCATTGATACCTGCGATTTGGATCAGGATAATTCGATAAATACCCGCGAATGGTGTCGTTGCTTTGAGAAAACAGATCGTCCTTGTGCCGCTGTACGACGAAGAATCGCTGGCGATTTTGCAGGTGAGATAGGTACAGGTGGACATCTTAATTTCCGTTCTTCTTTGTTTTCTTTTATTTAAACTTTTTTACTGAAACCAAAAAAAGAAAACAACAAGATACAATGAAAACAAAACAAAGAACAAGCAACAACAAACATAAAGATGGAAGAAATTTTAAAAAAGCTCTGAAAGTGGAAGATTTATTTTTAGTTTTCTTTTATAAACATACTCACATATATGCGATTTCATTGATACTTATTTTAAATTTATTAGGAATTCTTCAGGCAAAAATGTCAGTTTTTACGTAATTATTTCGAAAAATCTATAAGAACAAAATATTTAAAAAATCTACTTTCGAAAATTAGTGTAATTCCTATTACTCCAGAATACCGATAAATTAAAAGCCTTCTGCAAATTATGCTGTCGGTCTATCGAAACCAGTTACCCCTGATAAATGCTAATCAAAAAATAATTTAATTCGTAAATAATATATTGACATTGCATGTTATCGAAGTTCCACTGTATAATATATTTTCAAAAATATTTGTCGAACAAGTAGATAGGTATATCGAATACTGTTACATTCAATTGTAATGATGTTTTATTAGTGAGGTTCTAATATAGGTTAACGTTTTCTTGTTGTTCAATATATTGTGCATAGTATTGTCATTAAACCCCCTTAGTTTATATAAGTCTACTATAGGTTACTGTATATACGTATGTTCCAATATGTACTACCCCAATGTGAAACTCAATTTTAAAATGTTATACTTCTTGTACCTCTCCCACCAATTTCATAGAAACTTTGCATATCGTAATATGTTTACCATATTTAGATTATGTCCGAATATTGGACCCGTCGATCTTATTTTTTAGATACTTTCACCGCTAAATGGTCAACTTTTTTTCTGAATATTAATTTTATAATACCACGCGGACGGTCTATCCAATTTGAACTAAAATTTGCAAAACCTAAACCTAACAAACAATGACTGTGTAGAGCTCCACTTCCGTCTAGTACCAACTCTACTCCATCTAGTACCTCCCTCAACAAGGTTCAAAATTTTTAAAACTTGTACATCTCATATGAAACGATTATCCTATTTCATCGTAACGTCCCTTGTATGTTCAAACACACGTTATTTTAGTCTAGATTCAGTACACTGTTTTTATGTCAATCGGACAAGCATTGGCTCTTTAGTGCATCATTTATCTGAAGTAGGACGAAGTTATATATGAACCGATTTAAATGAAACTTAACACAGGTTATCCCACACTCAATTCAGGACACTGTGGAATATGTCATGTCAATTGGATAAATATTGGGGGTTTGGTGCACTATTTTCATGAAATTGATTGAAAATATATATGGGAGCTATATCTAAATTTGAAAGGATTAGTACGATGTTATTCTAGACATAATGCAATACACTATGCAAAATTTCGTGCCAATCGGACAAACGTTGTGTATTTGCGCACCATTTACCTGAAATCGGAAGGAAATATATATAAGATCTATATTAAAATCTGAACCGATTTAAATGAAACTCAACATTCGTTATTCTAGTCTAAATTCAGTACGCTGGGCAAAATTGTATGTCAATCGGGCAAACACTGGGTTTTTGGTGCACAACTTATGTGAAATCGGCCGAAAATATATATGGAAGTCAGAATCGATCTGACCATACATAAGTCATAACCGATCTGACCATACATAAGTCAGAACCGATCTAAAGCAGAATTGGCACACTTTATTTTAGACTGAATTCAGTATGCTATACAGAATTTCGTGTCACTTGAACAAAGTTTGTGTCAAAAATTGTTTAAATTGTTAATCCAATATCAAGCGCATTGAATGTCCGATTTTATCCAAACTTTACAAATTATAATATTTTACCAAACTTATATCAAATCTGATAATGGGAACCACCGTTGGTCTGTCTTTGGTCCTCCGAATAAAAATAATAAAATCTTGGTGGAATCCCGTAGACCTCTGCAGATCATAGGCTGAGGTATATATCAGTCGGCAACACCGACTGACACTTTTTTACTTGTTTTTAAATCAATAAGAATCGAAATGCTAAATTACATGGAGAACATTCCACAACATGTGAACCAAACTCCCCACGTTTATCCGATTGACACGAAAGTGAGTATAGACGAACGCTTGTCAAGTTTTATTGAAATCGGTTCACATTTAGATATTTACGTCCGATTTTAGGTAAATGAAGCACAACGATCCAAAGATTGTCCGATTGGTAGAAAGTTTTGCACAGAGTACTGAAATGGGTAAAGAGTGACGTCTTTTAAACTTGATGGAAATCGGTTTAGATGTAGATATATTTTCCATATATGGCTTCATGCGATATTATTTAAATGATGCTACAAGTAGTGGAAATCGCTGATCTAAAATTGATAGCTTCTAAATCATTTGTGATATGTTGCTGAAATTTTGACCAAATTCTGTCTATAACTAAGGAACTTACTTTACTTTCTTAGCTGGCTTGTTACAGAACGGTTGTTTCATAAGCCGAGCTTAAAAAAGATTTCCAAGAGCGTCGATCTTGTGCGCAAGTCCACCAATTTGGAAAACCACGTTCCAAAATGTTGTTTTCTACCTGGTCTTTCCATCTAATTCGTGGCCTTCCCCTTCTACGGGAACCATCAGTAGGCTCATTTTTATATGCCTTTTGAGCTGGGGCATTCTCATTCATCCGCACAACATGGCCTAGCCACCGTAGTCGCTGCAGCTCAATACGACTGACTACGTCGATGTCCGCGTATAAATGGTAAAGCCGCCGATATTCACCGTCGACGCAGATCGGCCCGTAGATCTTTCGGAGAATTTTTCTTTCAAACACCCCAAGAGCTGCCATGCTTCTGATCCAATATAATAGCACGGGTAGTATCAGCGTCTTATAAAGTGTGAGTTTGGTCTGGCGGGAGGTGGCCTTTTTTATACCCTTCACCTCACTGTGGTACAGGGTATTATGTCTTTGTGCATATGTTTGTAACAGGCAAAAATAATCGAGATAGACCCATGGTTCCTTTTGAGAATATGCATAGAATCACTTTCTGAGTCGATTTACGCATGTCCGCCCGTCCGTCCGTCTGTCCATGTTAAATTGTAAACAAAGTACAGGTCGCATTTATGATCCGAATTGGATGAAATTTGGCACAGGTCACTTAATTGGCCCAAGGACGAACCCTATTGAAATTGGAGAAAATCGGTCCACGTTTAGGCATAGCTCCCATATAAGGGTACCCCAAAATTTTCGGTATTTTGAGGTTCTTGAGCGCGTTTTTTAACTGAATTCGCTGAAATTTTGTACTTTGAGTTCTTATTGGGTAGCAAATCTCCCTACCAAAAATTATAAATAAAGGTCCCTTTTTTCGGATAGCTCCCATATGAGGGTACCCCAAAATTTTCGGTATTTTGAGGTTCTTGAGCGCGTTTTTTAACTGAATTCGCTGAAATTTGGTACTTTGAGTTCTTATTGGGTAGCAAATCTCCCTACCAAAAATTATAAATAAAGGTCCATTTTTTCGGAGAGCCCCCATATAAGGGTACCCTCAATTTTCGGTATTTTCGGGTTCTTTGTCTCGTTTTATAACTGAATTCTCTGAAATTTTGTACATTGGGTTCTTATTGGGTACCAAATTACTCAATTACAAATTATAAATATAGGTCCAGGTTTTCTGGTAGTCCCCATATAACGTTATTCCCAAATTTTTGGTATTTTGGGGGTTCTGATCGTATTGATTGATTGTTCTTATTAGGTAGTAAATCTCTCCACTGTAAATTATAAATATTGATCATTTTTTTCTGGTAGCCCCAATATAAGGGTACCCCCAATTTTCGGTATTTTGAGGTTCTTCAACCAAATTCTATTTATACCCTTCACCACACTAAGGTACAGGGTATTATGTCTTAGTGCATATGTTTGTAACAGGCAAAAGGAAACGAGATAGACACATGGTTCCTTTTGAGAATATGCATAGAATCACTTTTTGAGTCGATTTGACAAAAAAAAGGTCTAAGTTTCGTGAAAATCGGTTAAGATTTATATATAGCTCTCATATATATTTTCATATATATTTAATGAATTATCTCTAGAATGATGTGTGTTAAGTTTCCTGAAAATCGGTTCAGATTTAGATATAGATCTCATATATATTTTCGTCCGATTTAAGGTAAATAGTGCACAAAAGTCCCTATATATCTCTCGATTTGCACTAAATTTGGCTTAGCGTAATGAATTAGGTCTAGAATTATGTGTGTTAAGTTTCCTGAAAATCGGTTCGGATTTAGATATAGCTCCCATATATATTTTCGTCCGATTTAATGTAAATGGTGCACCAAAGTCCCTTAATATCTTTCGGTTTGCACTAAATTTGGCACAGCGTAATGAATTAGGTCTAGATGTGTGTTAGGTTTCCTGAAATCGGTTCAGATTTAGATATAACTTCTATATCTGACCAAATGAAAAATTTAGTATAGGTTCCAGAATGGCATGTTTGTGGATCGATTTTCATGTTAGTGGTCCTTCAAAAATTCGACGTCTGTTATGATTCATCGGTTGAATATGCCCAAAGTGGTGAAGGGTATCATATAGTCGGCCCCGTCCGACTTTACTACTTTCCTTACTGGTTCTAAAGTGCTTACTAAGACCAACTACCTCGAAGCTGTAGTTCTCCAGTTCCACAGTTGGTCCAAGTCTACTGGACTCTTGCGCGTTGGTCTTCTCGCCGTTTACTGCCAGTCTTTGGCAGACTCCTTTTCAATTTGTTCAAAGGTGGCTGTTACCGCTCGCAATGTTCGACCCATTATATCGATGTCATCGGCGTAGGCGAGTAACATGTGTTGTTTGGTGTACAGAGTGCCATTTCTGTTCACATTTGCGTCTCGTATGACCTTTTCCAGTAGGATGTTAAAAAGATCACACGACAAACTGTCACCTTGTCAGAATCCTTGTTCGGTATTGAAGGGCTCCGATACGTCCTTTCCTACTTTACCTGCTGACCTTGTGCCTTGGTACCCAATTGTTTGCAGCTTTTCGACGTCGAGTTTCCGTGTTGTATTAGATCGCAATTGCTGCAACATTAAGACGGGTGCGTACCTTGGCTGCCACAAGGTAATGGTCCGTATCGATATTCGCTCCTCGGATCGATCGGACGTCTAAAACACTGGATGAATGCCTTCCGTCTATCACAACATGATCAATTTGGTTTCTCGTTACTTGATCAGGAGAAATCCAGGAGTTTTTTGCTGCCGCGAAGTCAATCAACCTCATGCCGTTGTCGGATGTTTCTTCATGAAGGCTGAATTTTCCGACGGTGGGGCCAAAGATATTTTCCCTTCCGATTTTTGCATTAAAATCTCCTAGCAGAATTTTAATGTCATGGCCAGGGCAACGGTCATATGCTGTTTCTACGTGCTCGTAAAAGCATGGGCGCAAATGAGACTGATGTAGAAGAACTTCGCTTTTATACGGATTATGTCAATTCGCTCGTCTATTGGAGTGAATCTGGAGACAAGGTCTTTTATTCTCCTGTTAACCATAAATCCGCAGCCAAATTCATGTCTCGTTTCATGGCAGCTATAATACAGGGCGTAATCGTCTGATTTATTTACGCCTGTCCCTTTCCATCGCATTTCCTGTAAGGCAATAATATAGGCTCGGTACTTCTTGAGTACATCCGCCAAAGTGAACACTGCGCCTGTTCTGTACAACGTGCGCACATTCGCAGTTTGTGGGGGTCGTCAATATTAGGGGGGTTTGGTTTTATTTTTTTAGCTTTTTCATAGTAGGTTGGGTTTTCCGAGAGTGGGCAACTAACCCGACGCCGCAACCCATTTTTTATAGTTCTTATGGGTGAACTCGCGGCACATATTAGCTCACTATTTCATCGGGTGATGAGAATAGCTCCCCAGGTGGCACCGCGGGGAAGTCAGTGTCCACAATTGAGATGAAAGAGGGACCAAGATAAGCCTGGACTTCGCCATGTTAAAGCCAATCAGAGCCGTTGCTTGGTATCTATCATCCCCAACGCCACTAAGGAACTTAGTAAGCCGAATATGCACCAGATCGAATCAAAATTTGGTAATGATGCTGTATAAAGGTACCCCTAATTTTCGGTATTTTGATGAATTTCGCCACGTTTTTCTACCAAACTGGCTGTAATTTGATATATTTCATACTCACAGGCTATCAAATCATAGTGCCAAAAATGATTAATATTGGTCATGTTTTTAGGGTAGGAAATTGTCCATAATCGATGCAATAAAAAAATTTCGGAATTTTATATTTTGATTTTTGACTTTTGCGCCGCTAAATCAATGATTTCAGAGCACATTCGTCTTATAATGACGGACTTTTCTCAATACAACCTACAATATTTTTTTTCATGGCATACAACTGTATAGACTGCAACCGTCGGAAGTTAAAGACGGTTATCTTAGCACTGATGGAAATATCGGTTTCATATCTCAAATTCCTATGGACCACAATATTTTCAGACAATTTTAAGACGATTTAGAGATCTCAACATAATTCTCGAAGAGGAAATTGATTTGTCATATGTATAAAAAATAAAATTTATAATGAAACATGTGGTGTTGTTTAAAATTTGAACTTAGCTTTCATTACAAACAAATTAGGAAAACCATCCACCAACTTATTGTGGAGGTTATTATTGATTTTAGTGGAGTTTCTTCATAACTATAAAATTTCAATCTAAATATTACTAGTTTGTTAATTAATAGAAAAAGACCTTTATAGAGAACCATTAATTGTTTAAATTCTGAATTTAGCTTTAAATATATATTAGAATAAAAAAAACATTTAAATATTTTAGAATTTAAAACCCAACATTTAACTAGCTAGCCAATATATACAACACACACATGCATATTTTTATTACACTTTAATTAGTATGTGAATTCGTAATGAATTCACATTTTACACCCAATATACCACCATAAAAACACCTTTCCTTTTTTAAAACTAGTCCCAGCCTAATACAAATATAAGTATATCTTTATTTACTCGATGAAGTAATTTTCCTGCTACTCCTCCTCCTTTTATATTAATTATAAATTAAACTTTGTTGGCATATTTTATTAACAATTTATGATTTTCGAATTTTTGCTACTTTTGACAAATTTCAAATTCAAAATATTAAAACAACAACAACACTAATAGCCTATATTTTAATTATTAATTATTAAAAATACACACAACACACACATATATATTTTTATACAGTGTTATTATATAAAATTTTTTTGCTTTTGCTTTGACAAACCTACCAACCAGCCAATCCTACCTATCTCTATCTCCTCTCTATATCTCTCTCTGTCTGTTCGTTTGACTATCCCCTTGCCCAACAAAAACAAATAAAATTTGTTTATATATATATATATATATTGAACAATGTAATTCCTTATTGTAAAACCTTTTTTAATTCATTTACGGATTTTGTTAATTGCACATAATGGCTTTCGTTTGTACTCCGAATGATGAATGAATGACTGAAAATTTTAAATTTTTTGGATTTTTTTCTATTTCTTTTTCCATTTATCGCCTCCATATGTATATACGTGGTGTGTGCTTGTGTGTGTATGTAAATGTCACAACATCGAACAGGAGCATATGCACCGGATTGTGATGTCCAGGGTTTCTATAAGCCAACCCAATGCCATAACTCTGTTGGTGTTTGCTGGTGTGTGGATAAGCATGGTGTCGAATTTGCCAATACCCGTACACGAGGAAAACCAAATTGTGGTAAGTAGAGAAATGAGAGAAAAAATGGAAAAAATTATATTTTCGAAATCTAAAATTTAAAACGAATTTTTAAAGAAATTTTTCAAAAAAAAAAAAAAATAAAAAGTTGTTCCGTTAGACCCTAATATATATTTAAAAAATATCCATTACTAACACATAACCTTCCGGACTATATAATTAATCCTTTTACATTATAGGATTTCCAACACATTCTTGGAAATATCGTAGGCTTACATATGAACATGGATATTGGAATTGAACATTCATATGAATGTATGTGCATAAATTCGAAATTTAAGAATTCAAATTATACAAAATTGAATTTCACATGAAATTGAAACATCAATGACCTTAGATAAGCTATGAATGGAAGTTGAATAAGAACTTTGAAACACCAATTTCTTGGAAAATGATAATCGGAATTTGTAACTAAGACAATGGGGTGATACATTATATATATATATCTGCCAGTCGTAGATTGATTACATTGGGTGAAAAAATGAAGAAGACATTGACGAGTCTATTAAAAATACGTTAGACATGAAATTTTTTAATTATACTGCAATTTTAAAGTGATTCCAAGCATACATAAAAATTACTTTTTTATCCTAAGCCTTATGGCTAATGACAAAAATGTGCTCATCAAAATATTAGTTTTAGACCCCTCTCCTTCTTGTCTATACCTCCCTCAAAAATTTGTTCATGTTTTGCTGATAATGTATTTAATAATATAATGCGGACGGGTATCAAATTTGAAGCATACTTTGCACAACCTAATATTTTAAAAACTCTGGCATATTGCTTGAAGATGGCGTTTATCGGTCCAGTTCTTTAAGTACCTACCCACCAAAGGGTCAATATTTTGAAAATTTGTACAATTAATATGAAGCGAACAGAAAATAAAATTTCACTTAAACTTTGCACATATTATTATCAAAAGCAAAAAGTGTTCCCCCTCTCCCCTACAATATCCTGTCGATAGTAGGTACAGACATAGCATTTGAAGTACCGAAAATGGGACGCATCATTTCACTCCTTGTGTTGCCTTTCCCACAATTGGTCACTATTTTGAAGACTTGTAACTTGCAAGTGGAAAAAAACGGAGTATTAGATTTCATCCATCGATTGTATATCGTAATATGTTTACAAACCCAACATTAAGTTCGAAATGGAGTCTAAAGGGCAAAAAAATATCTACTCTATAATTTTATTTAAAATGCTTCGGAATGTCCGATTTGGACCAAATATGCACCGTTTTGTTGTATGATTTGTTGCAATTTTAAAGGTAACTTCATAATTCCTCTCTCATAGAAGTCCTGCTCTCTATTTGCAAAAAACTCTACTAGTCGATTTTCACAATCCTCCCTAGATACCAATTTTTTATCATTAAAGAAATTTTGCAATGGAAGAAATATCATATTT